CCCCAAAACCCCAAAACCCCAAAACCCCAAAACCCCTTAAACATTTATTAACTTTGAAATCTTATTTAGAAATTAACAATCTTGTTCCTACAAAATTCTGTCACATTGTCATCAAGGGTGAGCTTTGCTGGGATATTCTTGATATCAGTCTGAACTGATGCTGGATCAAAACAGCTCTTAAGGTTTCTTAAGGAGACAGGCTCTACCCATACGATATCATTTGTAGATTTTTGCTCTGCAGCTTCCTAAAAATTAGAGTAACTCTTACCATATTTACTTCAGGGTCATATCTCTCATTCTTCTCTATTAAAGTGAAGTTTGGTGATAGAGCCTCGAAGTTATTTTATCGCATGCTTGCTCCAAATAACCACACTTGACATTGAAGTGACATAAGCAACCATGAAGTTTCTCATGTCGTTGCTGAAGTATGTCATATATTCACATCCTTCTTTAAAGTTTCCAACTCTAGCATCTTGAGAACCTCCTTTGATGGAATAAGCCATGAGCTCTCCTGCTTTTTCAACTCCAGCAATGAGGTAGAGGTCAGTATCTTCTCAATTGTAGATCATAGCTCCTGCAAATTTTCTTTTCAGGACAACATCGTGAAATGTTCTGAGAGGCTTTGTCTGACCCAGATTGGGAACTGAAAAATCATACAGTTTGATAGTTTTATCTGCACAGGTAGCAATCACAAATACAATGGTCTCTTTTTCTTTCTCTTCTTCTTTGCTTGTCACTTCTCATTGATGATAAACCCTGAGAGAGGTAATCTCAGTTTTGAGTTTATGATAAGTCAGTATTTTAGAACTTAGGGAAGAAAACTTTGATTCTTCTAATTTTGACTTTTCAGAGAACAGTTTCTCAAAAACGCCAAAATCTGTTTGCTTGTGGTCTGGCTCCATTTCAACATCACTATCCTTTGCTTCTTCTGTTTTAATTTTGGCACTAAAATGATTAAAGAATCTTACTTGTCAGACTCACTTTCTTCTTGACTGCCTGTAGCTTTTATCACCTCTAATAAATCTGGGTTGATGACATTCAGATTTCTTTTGTCCCCAACAATTGCAACAGAGGGTTTCTTTTGAGCTCCAGAAGTCTCTTTAGGCAGATTCAGATTTTCTGGCTTGACAAATGCCAGAACATTAAGTTGCTTACTGTATATGACAAATACAGTATTTCCTTGATAGACCAAGGGCTCGATTAGCCAGTTCTCTTCTTTGGGATTGCTACTGAAAATATCAAAGTCAATCTAGAGGTAATAGAACAATATTTACCCTTTCTTGTGAACCTTGCTTTGAAGCATCTTCTGAATTGTTTTCTACATTCTATAATGTTAGGTTTATCTTTACCAAAGGAGTGGCAAGAAGCTCAAGAGTCGTCCAATCTCTCAGAATATATGGGAGTGACCCTCCCATGATAATACAAGAAGGATTTTCTGGGAGATACTGAGCATTGGTTATCTTTCTGTCATGCTTGAAGTTGTGAGATATTTTTCCTTCAAGAACATCCCATTCTACTAGTACAGACTTTAAAGTCGACAAATTCTTGAGGCTATGACATCTAGCCCCTCTTTCTTCCTGCTCTTGCTCTTGGCTGCTATCCTATTTCATGTTAATTTGAGAAAGGAAAAATTAAAAATCTTAAGCTGAAAATGAAAATTTTATGATATATTTAGAATTTTCTGTTCCAGGACATACCTGATCTCTTGGAGAATAAATATCTGGATTTGGGTTGTTCTCATCATTAATTTTGGGAGGAGTTTTGAAGTGGTATACAATAAGTAGCTTCTTGCTATCATTAGAAAATTTTATGCTATCTATTTCACAATTGTAATCCTTGACTCTAATTCCTGTTTGGCGTCCTTTCAGTCCAATCTTGCTCCTGGAGATATTCTTATTGGACTTTAGACTTTTCAGAAGAACAGGAAGTTCAAATTCTTCAAACTCATCAAACCCGTGGAATATTTGATCTCCTATATGCAGTTCCGGGAAATATGAAAGACACTTGACAATCCTCCTATGTAGCATATCCATAATCAAAGTGACTCCCATCTTTCACCCTATTGCCAACAGAGTCCCTGTACAATTAAATTCAACAATAGTCGCTGTCGATTTCGAAAGGTAATCATTACAATTCGAAGGGAACTTATCTATCCTCTCGTCTTTATCCATTTTGTGCGTATTTTTAAATTATAATCCAACTTAAATCCCCCATTAGGGGTTTTGGGGTTTTGGGGTTTTGGGGTTTTGGGG